CTACCTAAGGTTAGAATATGAGCGAAATCGATTTTTCGACCGTTGCCACAAAATGTTCGATTTTTGCTGACATCCCCTCTTAATAAGTAATATATACAGTATGAGTGGCCGTGTTGTATCCGATATACAAACTGAAGGTGTAGCCGAGAGTTTGTATATCCGATATACAACACGGACACAAATACCTTAGATTGCTTATCAAACGTCTAGGTTAGTTCCTTTGTGTTTCACTAAAATTTTCAAAATTAAAGTTTTAAATCTGTCCAAGAAAATCCAAGTTAAAGTTTATGCAAATGAACAGGATTCTGTATCTGATTTACAGAACTTTTCACGATCGTGATTTCTGTTGTTTTCCTCATGAATTATTAATGAGTTTGATATAACTGATGTTTCAGACTACATTTATCAGAGTAAAATTTTTATTGGGGCTTTTTTTAAATATTTTGGGTTTGGGTCGTTCTGCTCATTAGTGACTCGAGCTTTAACATATGAATATAATAACAGGAGCTCATTCAAAATGCTGAAGATGCTAAAGCCAAAGAAGTAAAATTCTTATATGACCATAATTCATATGGCACAGAAAAACTGCATACGCAAGACCTGGCTAAGTTTCAGGTAGGTAGTACGTCATTAAGTCTTATAGGATTTGGTTTGGCTAATATCACTGATGTAGTTGAGCACTGATTGAAGCAGGAGCAGATTCCAGGGGTGGAATTCCCGATTTCTTAATACAAACTATTTGTGTCGGATCATATGAACACTATAGTCAGGCTTCGTCCTAGCCTGCTGTGCAGACGAGTACGAAATGTTCTCCGTCCACATCATAGCCGGTGTTTTCAAATTGTTCCACTCTGGAGACTGTATTCGAAAAAAATCGTTTACGGTGAAGAATTGTTCCGGATTCGCCCGGACTATTGTTGACGGTAGGCCTAACTGAATAAATAGCAAATTCGGATTCAAATTTATCCGGCATAATGTGAACGGGGCCTGAGAATCTGTAGTAATGACCAGCTTTTAAATACACTGATATCTTTACCTTGGGTGCAATGTTTTCGATTTCCGATCACGTGTCATTCCCAAGAATATACATACTTTTTTTGTTTCATGGCTGGGCATGAGAAGAATGAATTTGGATACAACTCAAACAAAGCATATAATTTAATTCTCCAGGAAAATATTACGCCCAATTATAGTGCGACATGCCTAACCGTGGCCACCCGGCTAATTCTTGTACTTATTGTTAGCCAATCATACCGCGAGAATTTTTGCATTTGCACGTGCTGAATCTCTCAACGTGACCGCAAATATTTAAAATTATTTCAACAAAAACTTATAAATATATGGCTAGGAATTTGCCTAGTGATAGCTGTTTTGGTCCCTTTGCTGGCTAACACTGGACACTTTCGTAAAAAGTCTTTTAATTGAAGGAAAAACTTGGCAGGAAACGATTCAATGGCATTGGTAAAAAGAGTTGGGTGGTCACGGTTAGGCGTGTCACAATGTAAAATGATCAATTATTTCATTCTCTTGATATTTATCTAGGGCCCAGCATTGTATGCTTACAACGATGCAATATTCTCTACTGATGACTGGAAGGGTGTCAGGATGCTCAGTGAGAGCATCAAGAAGAAGGACCCGACGAAAGTTGGACGGTTTGGTCTTGGGTTTAAATCTGTTTTTCACATGACAGGTATGCAAACATTATTACTCCCATTGCAATTAAGAACAGAGTTTTTGAATTCATACATCCTGCGCTATTTTTTGTTTTGTTTTGTTACATCCATTTTCATGGTTGTGCAACCACCACAGCCAATGTCAACTCTGGTTTCTCGATCTGTGTCAATTAAAAAGTACACCCTCAGACCATTAGAGATTTGATTGACGGATGCCAAAGTCTCGAATGATAGCTAGTTGTATGTCTGGGTCACATAGTTATGGAAATGTACAAAACGACCCATCCAGGGTTGGCCACTGAACTTTCCTGGAACACTTGAATATTGGTGAACAGAGCTCGCCAGACATTTTGTTATTTTTAAGAATTGTTTTCCAGAGCGGGGTCAAAATTTGTACTATAACAATACCCATTTGACGACAAAAAGGTTATTTATTGAAGATATGCACCCTATCCTCCCCGGAAATGGGTAAAGGAGAGGAGGATTGGGACTCCTCAAGGTAAGGGTGGAGAATAAGGTCAAAGAGTATTTTATATCTTACTCGGCTTATGCCAACAACATTTCTTTTTCTTTTTCTTTCCTGAAGACCTTCCAAGTGTTATCAGTGGCGATAGTGTAGCGATAATCGATCCCGAGGAGAAATACTTTAGTGATAACGGCGGTAAAAGATCAGGTCGAAAATGGCATTTGAAAAATCATCAAAAAAATATGCAGACGATTCCAGATCATTTTCTTCCATACCAACGTGTTTTTGGCTGCAGTAATGAATCGTTCGAACGAGGTAGCTATGAAGGGACACTTTTTCGTTTGCCATTAAGACAAGAAGCTTCCAAGTTGTCCAACACCATTTATTCGCAAGAAAAGATGAAAGGATTGCTCGAGTGCTTTGAGAAAGATGCCCATTTGATTCTACTCTTTTTGATGAATCTTGAACGGATCGAAATTTATGACAGAGAGGCACACTCTTCACAGCCTAGAAAACTATTCCACGTTAGAATCTCAGAGCACTGCTTGACAGAAGTCAGGAAAGCGAGAGAAGAATTCAGTACCAAAGTACAAGAAAATGTCTCGGCTCTTTCAGGTGGTTACTTTCCTGAAGTGAAACAGAGCTACACTCTAACCATTGAAACGGCACGCTACAGCAATGGAGTAAGCAATAAGGCAGAGCACTCCTTTGTCATCACAAACCTCTTCAGCGGTAGCGATGTTTCGGTGACAATGCAAGAGCTGATACGAGATGCCTCTCTGAGTTATATGCCATGGATCGGCGTTGCATTGCCAATTGCAACCCAGTTGAAGATCGAAGAAGACGCTGATGATTTCGAAGAACCAAAGGGTCATCTTTTCTGCTTCTTACCTTTGCCGCTAGAAAGCAAGAGCCTGACAGGTCTGCCTGTTCATGTTAATGGTTTCTTTGCCTTGAGTCAGAACCGTCGTCATCTGAAATGGCCAAGTGCTGATCAAGATGAAACAATCCAACCCTTAACAGACAAGTCATTGCAGTGGAACAAAGGGTTGTTGCAGGAAGTGCTGCCCAAGGCCTACGCTGAGCTTATTCTCCATGTCATTTCATGTTTGACAGAAGAAGAACCACTACAAACGATGACCACAAGTGATGCGTACAGTGCATGGCCAGACGTAAACAAAGTTGATGTAAAATGGAAGAACATTCTGAAGCCATTATTTGAAATCCTTCTGCAATCTAAAGTACTGCACACCGATGCTAATGGCGGAGGCTGGTGCAAAGTGGAAGAGGTTCTCCTTGACAGTCTAGAGAAAGGTGATCAGTCCATGAGGCGAATTGTGATTGACCTGCATAACAGAACGGGCCAAAAGGTTGTCACAGCTCCAGCGCATGTAAAAACAGCCCTTCAGGAATGCCGCCATATAAATTATGTCACCCCAAAGACATTGAGAGAGAGTTTAAAGGCATATCCATCTTGCTACTCCTGTTTGAGCCACCAGGATAAGATCCTACTCCTGACGTTTGTTCTCAGTGATTCCAACTTCACAAATCTTAAAGGTCTCGAATTGCTACCCTTATCTGACAAGACATTCACTACATTCAGAGGACGAGGGGTTTTTCCCATTTACATTGATTCCGCTGAACACCCAAAGTCGCTGTTGCCAGGGCTACAGAGAATGTTCTTGGATACAGACTTGGATGACACTGTAACAGACCAATTAAAAAACGCAGTCGAGAAAGGTAACTAAACTGACTGAGGATGAGTGTCAGTCATCAGTGATGATGATTAATGATAATGCTGATGTCAACGGCCAGAATAATGTTCGACAAAGATGTGATCAATTAGTGATGTTTATAATTACTCTAACTGAACGTGCATTTGTAAAATATGAAATTGCAAAATATCGAAATTTTATTTGAAATTATGGATTATTAAAAGTGTCCTTTTTTGCAGGCCATACGCAGTTATGTTACTTCAACAAAGAAGCTGTTATACGGCATCTCCGCCAAATGCTGCCTTCTGATTGGTTAGACTCAGAAGATCACGTGACCTGGCACCCTGGAATATCCAACCACCCAACAATTGAATGGTTGAAGACCTTGTGGGAGTATTTTGGTAGACATTTTGCACACACGACGTCTGGTTTAGATGCATTTAACGGGCTTCCTCTTGTTCCTGTGACCCCGTTGTCCAATCAGAGCGAGGTACATCTTGCAAGAATTCAGCGACCATCCAGTCTTGTTCTTGCTTCTTTCAACGGCGAAAATATTGACGAGTCAGTGTGTCACGTCTTGGAGGATCTTGGCTTAACCATCTTGAAAGATCTTCCAGAGTGCATTCGGCATTACCCGGAACTAGTTCCTTCTTTCGTTAATCCGGCAAGTCCAAAGGGGATACTTCATGCCATGGCAGTCATTTTTAAAAGTCCCCAGAGAAAGGACGACCTTTTACAGAAGATGAGAGTACTATCTGCTGACAAGATTGGCTCATTCAGAACATTTCTGTCAAGTTTATCGAGTCTAACACCGAATGAAGCATGTTTACTACGACAGCTACCCATGTTTGAAACATATGTTGGCTGTGGAGAGAGACTGTCTCGTTTCGTGTCACTAGAGGAAGTGAATATTGGAGCTCCAGTCGATGATTTGCCAGCTGTGTCTGTATTCACCGACTTACTGGACCTAAGAGATCGCAGAAGCCGAGCTCTTGCTCAATTGCTCAACACTTTCCAAATGTCACTCATTGGTTTATTGAAGACACTGTTGGACGACGCTCTGGGTAACAACTATGCTCAAAGTGAGGTTGACGTGCTGGCCAAGTACACCCTTGAACGGTTTGGTAGTCTTCATGGGGAGGACTTAAGGTGCATCAAACAAAAGCTACAGTGTTTGTCATTTGTTGTGTCCAGTGACAAATCGAGGAAGAAGCCCACCGAACTGTTTAATCCTGAAGATGATCTTCTTACAAAAATCTTCCTGGGTGAAGAGGTATTTCCGGAAACGTCGTATTACTCACAACCTGAAGTTAATGCTCATTTGAAGAATTTGGGTCTGAAAGGCCAAGAAAAGATCACTCCATCTGATGTCTTGAACAGTGCTAATTTGATAAATAACATCCAAAATATTGACAAAGCAAGAGTCAAATCCTTAGGCCTTCTACAACTGCTAGAAAAGAATTATTTTCTTCTTCAGGCAGCTGGTAATGGCCTACGTTCCACAATTTGGGTTCCAGTCTTGAGGACGAAACCAAATACTTATTCCACTCATCTCCCTCTGAAAGGTGGAGAGAATGCCGGGTTTTTTACTTGCCCTAACAACTTGACATCACATGATTCCATAAACATTATTGGTAGCGTCAAACTCCTGGTAAATATGCCTAGTGAGTCAAGCGTCTCGACATACTTTGGATGGCACCAAAATCCATGCACGGCAGATGTTCTCAAGCATCTTAAAAATGTAGTGTTTTCTTACCACGTTGAAGACAAAAGCAATTTTATTTTTGCTGTTAAAGAAATTTATGGATACCTTAGCAATATACGGGCCACAGATGTTATCGATGGTATGAGAGAACTACAGCTGGCAGAGTGGGTATGGAATGGCGAGGGGTTCTGCACTTTGTCAGATGTAGTTTTAGAGAATCCTTGGATTAATTTGGCACCCTACGTCCGCGTTCTACCAACAGAAACGAGAGAATTCAGCCTGATCTTTACAAGGTGTGGGATGAAACAGAGTTGCGATGCAGATTTGCTGCTCAACGTGCTGCTCAAAATCAGAGAAAAGCATGAGTCATCGCGCACCACAGACCTCTCAGTGGATGTTAAGCGTGATTTGCAACTCGCCACTGACATCCTAAACGAGCTTAAACCTAAAAATGGACAGTCCTTTGATACTAATGTCAGAAAAAGGCTTCTAGTTCCTGTTCATGTTGAGGATGATGCGAGACTGGAATTGAAACCAGTTGGAGAATGTACCTACTACGATCGAGATTGGCTCAAACAAGGGCATGATGTCATTGATATTGATGACCAAGATGATGTAAAGATCAGCTTTATCCATCAAAATATACCCGATACTACTGCTGAGCTTTTAGGAGTCCCCACTCTAATGAGTAGAATACTTGGGGCAGAAGAGCTTGAACTTGGAGAAAGTTTCGGTCAGTCCGAGTCGCTGTTAGACAGAATTCGTGGGCTGTTGGATGGGTATACTGACGGCTTGTCTGTTCCCAAAGAACTGATACAGAATGCTGATGATGCAGGGGCCACTGAGGTACGAATCTTGTACGATGAGCGAACAAACGAGGATTGCATGACACGCTTGATAGACGAAGGGATGAAAGAATGTCAAGGTCCCGCCCTGTGGGCTTACAACGATGCCGTATTCTCGGATGAAGATTTCCAGAACATCGTCAAACTCAACGCCGCCACTAAGAAGGAAGATTCCAGAAAGATTGGACGTTTTGGTCTTGGCTTTAACTCGGTTTACAATTTAACAGATGTTCCAAGCTTTGTCAGTAGAAACTCTATCGTGATTCTCGACCCTCATACCACTTACCTTGGAAAGGGAATACGAGACAAGAGCAAGCCTGGAATCAAGCTAAGAATGGGAGAGAGGAAGCTTCGCAGGCTGGAAAATCAGTTCAAGCCGTACAATGGGATATTTGGCTGCGACCTTCGACCTGGAGCACAGCAGAAATCGTACAATGGTACTCTGTTTCGATTGCCACTTAGAACAGCAAGTCAGGCATTAAAAAGTGGAATCAAGAATCTTCACTACGATGGCAGCCAAGTAAAAGATTTGTTGGGAATTCTTTTCCATGGAGCAGAATCTTTGTTGCTGTTCACTCAGAATGTACTTCGAGTTACTGTGTACCACTTGAGAAATGAGAGTACAGAATCTCCACAGCCAGTCGAGTTATTTCGTATCTCAAAGTCATGCAGCAGGATTGTGCACCAACTCCAAAGTGAAAGTTTATTGTCAAACTCTGTGCAGCAGTTGACAAGTGAAGAACAAGAGTTTGTAAAGCAAAGCAGTGTTTTGAAAGTATCCTCGTCTTTTATGGAAAAGCAAATGGATCAAAACTTCAGTTCTCCGAGTAGAGTTTTAATGAAGTCTTCCATGATACTTAACTGTCAGTGTGTTTTATCAGATCAGGGTAAAGAATATTTAGCTTCTTCTGCTGCGTCAGGAGGGACTCAAGTTTCATGGCTGGTTACGTCTTGTATGGTAAAAGGAGAAGCTTTGGAAATGGCATCAAGGAACAAAGGCTTACTTCCTACAGCAGGAGTAGCAGCGAAGCTTACAGAAGTGCACGCAGGAAACTATGTGCCTGTTCCAATAACTAAGCCTGTCGACCATGGGGGTAATTACCAGAATAATTGTCAAGATAGTACGCCTCGCCATAATGGTGGAGTGTTTTGCTTCCTTCCATTACCCATCCACAGTGGTCTTCCAGTCCATATCAACGGTTGTTTTGCTGTCAGTGACAACAGACGTTATCTACGTGAAAGAACAGAAGAAGACAAGACAGACCAAGGTGCAGAATGGAACGATGTTCTTATGAAGGAAGTAGTTTGTCAGACATACATCAGCATGCTGGATGACATGAAGGACTTGTCGTCGCGCAATGGATACGTATTTCATTCGTTGTGGCCAAGATGCCCTGATGTACAAACAAACTGCATTGGGATCGCTTCCAAATTCTACAGTTCATTATTTTATGAACATCCAAAGCTATTTTCAGATGGTCATGAATGGACCAGTATGCAGAATGTCGTGTTTTTGGAGCCTGCATTTAGAAAGGTGCAACCGATTGGGCAGGTCGCATTTGACGTATTCAAGACCAGTTTGGAAGGTACAAATACCATTGTAGTTGACCTGCCTGAAGATATATCGAGATCCTTTGACAGATATGAACTACAACATGGGATACAAAATATGTGTTACAACAAAGAACGTTTTTTCGATGAAGTATTCTTTCCCTCCATTGATTCGATAGACGCAGGCTCAAGAAACGAACTCGTTCTCTACGCTCTTGACGACACTTCAGAGGTACTGAGGAAACTCGTTGGAAGCCATCGTTGTATTCCTTCTTCACCATTGGGCCATCAACTGAAGTACCCTAAAGGACTTCTCAATCCCGGTGGCAAAGCGGCTCAACTGTTCAGTCCTGAAGACGGGAGATTTCCTCATGGAGATAAGTTTACTTCGGAGGAACGTTTAGTGACGTTAAAGAGATTAGGTATGCGAGATGATGACCTTGAGTGGGACGAAGTTATAGAAAGAGCCGAGAGCGTCAAAAGTCTTGTTCCCTACCATCAAGCTTTGGAAAGAACGAAGCTGATTCTTGCCTTCATTGATAGGAAACTGGATAACGATATAAAGGTTGACACAGATGTTCCGACGAGACTGCAGCAAGTGCAGTTCCTTCCGATAATGAAAAAGCCTGAAACCTTCCCTTTCAAATGGAAAGGAGATGATTACGCAACATGCACTTTTGAATCTACATCAGAACTTTACCCGAAAACGGTGAAGTATTTGGCCAGCGCAAGTGTACCAATCCTGGATGAGACAAAGGATGGGTGTGGCCAGGTTCCCACAAAAGTTAAACGTTTTTTATTAATGAGGAAGACTTCTCTCGATCAAGTTAAAACACAGATGGAAAATGTGATAGCAACAGCTGAAGCAATGGTTTTAAAAACCAACAGTAAACTCTTCGACGAGGTTAAGAGTGCTTTTGAAACATTATATACTTACTTCCAGAGCAGTTTAGAAACAGAAAGAGACGAAGTCGTAAACTTTTTGAAGCCACTGACTTTTATTCTTGGAGAGAAGCAATTATTTTCATTCAGCACAGTGGCATTCCGTTCCCAAATTGAATATCCACCATACTTGACCCCAGTGCTTCATAACTATGACCTGAAGTTTGGAGAATTGTTTAAGAGTGTTGGTGTTCGAGAATCCTTTGACATCGTAGATTACATCAAAGCACTTGAAAAGGTGAAAGAGAACTATCAAGAGAATCCAGTTACAGAAGAACTCATAAAGGTGACAACTGTTTTAAATCTGCTAGCAAACACTATGGAAGGGGAGAAGGTCACAGCCGACGAAGCGGTAAAGGAGTATGGAACTATTTTTCTCCCTGATTCGAAGGGGATTATGAAACCGTCAACAGATGTATGTGTGAAGGACTGCATTTGGATGCCTGACGAGAAAGGGGTCGTATATGCAAATGAAGGTATACCCTCTAATATCTGCCTCACCCTTGGGGCAAACACAAGACGACAGGAAACGCTTCGCAAGCACACATTTGGCATTGCATTTGGACAAAAAGAGAAGCTTACCAACAGGCTGAAGCGGATATTAACGGGATATCCTTGCGGCAAATCAATTATGAAGGAACTTCTCCAAAACGCAGACGATGCAAAAGCAACAAAAGTCTGTTTTATTAAGGATCCTCGTAAACATGCAGACGAGAGAGTCTTTGAAGAGTGCTGGAAGCCCCTCCAAGGGCCTGCTTTGTGCGTTTACAACAACGCACCATTCACAAAGAGTGACATCGAGGGAATACAGAATCTTGGCGAAGGAAGTAAAGGAGATGATCCAAACAAAACTGGTCAGTATGGTGTGGGATTTAATGCAGTTTATCATCTGACCGACGCGCCAACTTTTGTTTCTCAAGGAGACGAGATTGGAGAAGTAATGTGCGTGTTTGATCCGAATCTGAAATTCGCTCCTGGTGCAGATGAGTCAAGTCCTGGAGTTAGGTATGACAATATTTCGTACCTTAAAAAAATATTCACCGATGTGTTTCCTTKCTACCTTGGCGAACATTTTCCAATTAAAAACGGAACAATGTTTCGTTTTCCTCTTCGCAACGAGGAAATGGCAAAGGAGTCAAAAATCTGCGACACTCCGATAACGACAAAAGATCTCGATAACTTGCTTGATTCCTTCAAAAATGAAATGCTTGACGTTCTTCTTTTTGTTAACAACGTGAAAGAAATCTCAGTCTGTGAGATTGACAAGGAAACTGGAAACATGAMCGAAAAATACAGCGTTAAGGCAWCGCTATCAGAAGAAGACRAAGAAAAWCGACGASATTTTGCTGCTCGTGTCAGCGAAATTRGAAAACGTCTACAGGATGGAGMAATKTCGATTTCCGATGTCMCTCTACACCAAGTATCCTATGTTGTTAATCTGGAAGAYCGTGAGGGTTTGACTCAGAGATGGTTTGTTGTTCAGAAGATTGGTTTTGAAAACCCAAAGGAAATTCCAGATGCTGTAATCAAGGCATTCCAAAAAGGTGATCTGGGCCTATTGCCGCGTGGAGGTGTGGCATCGTTGATCAGTYCCTCCATTGAAAATCCACCCGGAAAAGCCTTCTGTTTCTTACCCCTTCCTTTTGAAACAGGCCTACCAGTTCACATTAATGGGCATTTTGCTCTAAACCAYGAAGATCGYAGAAGCCTCTGGCGAGATGACAGAGGTAATGATTACAGGAGTAACTGGAATGATGCATTACTACGACAAGTGATTGCGCCATGCTATGTAACCTTACTAGATGAGGTGAGGCAACTGATCTCATTGCCAGTGAATGCCAATAGAACAAAATTAAGCTGCAGTCGAGATGATGCAGAGCAAATGCTTAATTCATGCTATGCAGACCTATTCCCTTCTCTGTCGTCCCGTGAATTGTATTGGGAGACTCTGGCCAAGGACGTATATCGTTATATGGATGCAAAACGCGTTCGTCTGCTTCCAGTTCTACGTCAAGTTAGAAACGCGAATGAGCAAGAGCAAGTTGTCATTGAGTGGCTGCCACCAACGGGAGAAGGTCCAGACCAGGCTTTTTTTGGTACTTTAATAGAGAACCTGCCAAAAGAGTACTTAACGTATGATTACAAAAACAAGGAAAGAGCGAAGAAAAGATGTAGGAGTTTGAGAGACACCCTTCTTGCTGTGGGCCTCAACCTTCTTTGTATGCCAATGAGAGTATACGAGTGTTTCAAGGAATCCAATGTGGATGTAAGTCTTATCTCATCGGCCGATGTTATTCATTTCTTTGGAACATACGACGCCCCAAACCAGCTGTGTAACGTTGGATGCCTGCCTTTGGGTATTAAAGATACTCCATTTGAAAGCGTCGACAACTTGCTTGTGGTTCTCAAATATTGCAGTCAAGACGAACACTTTTGTCAACTTCTTGATGGTCTTCCATTGCTTCTTACCCAAGATGGCGTTCTTCGTGTCTTTAGTAGAGACCTTCCAGTGTTTCAGAGTGGTTACTTTGAGATACTTCCTCACTGCAGCTCGATGTTCGTACACCGTCAGATGTTTAACACGGTTTTCTATCTAAAGGATGGTCATACGACGTCCCCAGTTTTCAAAGATTTTGACATCAATGCATTTGCTCATCTTCTTCCAAGAGAATTGAACAAGGGCGTCTACAAATCCACCAATGAATATGTTATCTGGGATCCAGAAGATAGAGATAAGATTCCAAACAAACATTGGATGTGGCATGTGTGGAGATTCTTTTCAAACTATGTCAAGAAACTCATCGATAAACACGTCGAAGAGAAGAAAAGAAACATGGAKWWTAAAATGCTGAACGRWTCAACTCKYGAAAAAMTGCGCCTCAATGAAAGAATGGAGCACAAACGTATCGTGCAAGAAGCCCTGACACCTGTAAATGAATGGTGTCTTCTTCCAGCAACCGAAACAGAAAAAGAACTTTATCGTGTTATTGAGGTCAGACATCTTCTTGTTCCTTTAGCCTCTGCCAAGTCTGTAATCCACTTTCTGCACAATGACCTCTATTCGCTACAAGAAAATCTTAAGAAAATGGTTCTTCCAGAATTGAATTGTAAAATACTAGAGGGCGAAGGTTATGCAGTTCATCCAGCTTATAGCGAAACAGCAAGGCAACTTGTGGCTTCTTTAAATGATCCAACATCTATCTTAACGGTTCTTGTACAAAAGCTGAAAAGGAACCCTAATTTCCATTATGGTTTAGAGAAACGTGCTTGCGAAAGTGTGCTGCATTTTTTCAGCGAGCAGATAAAGTTATTCAACAGCGAAGATAGCAAAGATCTGAAGGCCCTTCCTTTCTACACAACTATACATGGTGAATCAATTAGCATCAAAGAAATGCAAGCAATAGTGCTTTCCGATTCGATTCCCAAGAACGACATGCATATCTGGCAAGAAAAGTCAAGGATTGCTTTTTTAAAGGAAAATGATAGATTGAAAGATCTTTACGCTTTCCTGGGATGTGATTCTAAGAACGCCATTGACCTGTACTGCGAAATCATATTTGATAAATTCCATGAAATGAGTGAAGAGGCAAGACTTGAGCATTTAAAGTTTCTTCGAAGATTATTAATGAGCGCAGACTCAGATATTTTTCTAAAGTATCCAAGAAATGATGAAAAGTCCGAGGATAAGGAGAAGCTRTTACAAGAGCTCAGCAAGTTGAAGTTCATTCAAGATAAAAGAGGTTATTTTAAAACCGCGTCTAGTTTTTATGACCCTTCCAATGAAGTCTTCAAAGTGATGTTTGAAAACAAGCAAGATGTATTTCCTCCGAAACCCTTTTGTGAGTTTGAATGGCTGCACTTTCTACGTCGGATAGGGCTCATCCATCAAATCACTGACGAACAATTCTTACAGTTTGCCAAGGAMGTAGAAACAGAAGCAAAGACAATGCCGAGTGAAGCAACAAGGAACAAATCAGATATTCTTGTCAGACACCTTTTCCAAATAGAAAACGTTGCAACAAGCACACTTTTGGAGTATGTGAAAGAAATCTGTTTTATCTTCCCTTTGAGTGTGGATAGTCGGCTACAATGTCTGCATAAACAATATGGCATGAAACAAAGTGGCTTGCCCTACATCTGTTTTAAAGATTCTGTAGCCTCTAATGATTATTACATTTGCTGGACAAGTGCAAACCTTTTGCCGCCGAGTGCTAACCCATTGTATTTTCGTGAACTAAATCCAAATTACAAAGGTTATAACAGCAAGTTGAATAGTCTCAGAAACTACAAAGAAATGATTTTCCAGCGATTAGAGATTCTTGAAAACCCAACTGTTGATATGGTGGTTACTCATTGTGAAACCATCTGCAAAGTGCTTACCCAAAAGAAGCCCACCGAAAACAAGGAGAGAAAAGATTGTCTTGAAAACTCTCGCCTAGTACTCGGAATAATGACAAGCATTTATGAGTATCTGCAAAGAAACTACCATGCCAATAAAGAAGTCATAAATGATTTGAAGAACATTAGATGCATTGTAGTTGATGGTGGAAAGCGATTTGTGTTTCCTATCCAAGTGGCCGTGGATATCACGTCAGACCAAGAAATCCCGCCATATCTGTACAAGATTCCCCTTGAAATTGGAGCTTACGCAGAGCTGTTCAAAAATCTTGGTACAACCAACACTATCACTGCAGCACAGTATTCGATGGTACTGAAGAATATACACGATGAATCTGGCGACAAGAATCTTCACCCTAACGAGATACGCAATGCTTTTAAAGCCACGAAAGGTTTATTTGAGACGATAGCGAAGATGAAAGAAGTTCAAGCCCCAGAAATCTCTCCACTCTATTTGCCAGGAGAGAAACGAAATCCTGATGATGGGAACAAGCTGTTTGTGGTTTTAGAAAGAGCAGCTCACTTAGTGTTTAACGATGCTCCAAACTTTAATGAGCGAATCAAGTTCTTTGAAAGGTTTCTGCTAGTAAAACTAGAAAAGTGTCATCTAGAAGTATCCAACGACGACTTGCTGGTTAAAAAACTTCCCGAATCCGTACGTCCACTTATGCTTACATCAGTAGTTCGTGAAACCTTGGTGGAAAAAAAACAGGCACTTTCTTGTTCCAGCACAGCACAAGAACTTCGGGAGATTTTGACGTCCGGACAGTTCTGCCATGGACTGATTCGCATGATTAGACATTCCAACTACGTAAATGAAGTGGATATAAGTAGTGATGTCTTGACTAATGTACGACAAAAGTTGTCTTGTATCTTCGTTTATGGTGTTTCACACCTTCAAACAAGGCTTGTGTACAATGGCAAAACTATCCGCAACAGCGAGGCCAACGTTTCTTGCTTTGGTGAGAAAGAAGAATGTAGGGAACTTGAAACTTGGAAGATATACGTTGAAGAAGGAGCAGACCTCAAGAAGTACTTCTCACGAGTGGCAATAATTGTAGACAGGATGACAGGGGGTCTTTTAGGAAAAGAAATGTTGATCCATCTCCCAATTATGCTTTCTTTAATGCCACACGAAATTAAGTGTTTCCTTGATGAATTGGGAGTTCGTGAGGACAAGTCCTTTTTGGATGCAACATCKTCTTATTTCCCACCAGCTGGAAATTTTATTCATATTACAGACCATCACTTGCTGGTGGATGACATCACAGTGTTCAGTCCTGGTGAGTACGTTGGTTATGAGCTAGATGATCCAAGTCTTCGAGGAGAAGATGGCACCCCAACCTACATCTATGCAATTGTCATCGAAGAAGTCACCGAGGACGGACAACCCTCAAACACAGAACCAAGCTTAAGAAAATACAGAATTGATATCGGGAAAGACAAAGAACCAATTGTTGTAGACGCAGCAGACTTGTACAAGTTCTATCGTCCAAGTCAAGGGAACAGTGAGTGTTTAGAAATGGAACCCTTCACAGGTTCTCAAGATGAAAAGCCTGCCAGTCTTGATGAGCATGAAATTCGAAACGAGATCAGAAGAATTCTCCAAGAGGCTTGGAAGCAACCCGAAGAGAAACGAAAAAAGATCATAAAGCGTCTGTACCTTAAGTGGCACCCAGACAAGAATCCTGGAAATGAACAGTTTTGTACAGAGGTGTTTAAGTTTATTCAGCAGGAAATCGAAAGACTTGAAAAAGAAGAACGCTTTGCCGGGAGGACTCGAACACGGAGTTCCACGAGATCTGATCACAGCTACAGCGGATTCTACAGTACCTTTTTTAATTGCTGGTCAGGCCGTGCACGATATCACAGTGGCCAAAGATCTTCCTTCTATAGTGGCGGTGGCTTTTCTACTTTTTCTTGGAGGTCATACAGACGTAACCCTCAACCTGGTGAAGCAAGAAGGTG